CCGCCTCGGCCTCCCAAAGTGCTGGGATTACAGGCGTGAGCCACCGCACCCGGCCTATTTTTTTTTTATTTTTATTTTTTGAGACAGGGTCTTGCTCTGTCAGCAGGCTGGAGTGCAGTGGCGCAATCAAAGCTCACTCTAAGCTCAAACTCGTAGGCTCAAGTGACTTCTCAGCCTCCCAAGTAGGTGGGACTATAAGTGCCCACCACTGCGCTGGCTTATTTTATTTTTTTAATTGTCTGGCTATTTTGCCCAGGCTGATCTGAACTCCTAGGCTTGAGCAATCCTCCTTCCTGGGCCTCCCAATGTGCTGGGCGTGTGCCATGGCAACTGGCCTGGAAGTGAGTTTTCAAAGAACCACTACAGCTCCAGTGTAGGGAATAGGTTAAAGGGCAGTTGTTATAACAAATCTGCCATAGAATGTGGGAATAGAAAGAGATGGAGTGGGAAATAAGTTTCTTTTTTTTTTTTTTTTTTTTTTTGAGACGGAGTTTCGCTCTTGTTACCCATGCTGGAGTGCAATGGCGCGATCTCGGCTCACCGCAACCTCCGCCTCCTGGGTTCAGGCAATTCTCCTGCCTCAGCCTCCTGAGTAGCTGGGATTACAGGCACACACCACCATGCCCAGCTAATTTTTGTATTTTTAGTAGAGACGGGGTTTCACCATGTCCACCAGGACGGTCTCGATCTCTTGACCTCGTGATCCACCCGCCTCTGCCTCCCAAAGTGCTGGGATTACAGGCTTGAGCCACCACGCCCGGCCCGGGAAATAAGTTTCTTAAAAGGAAATGAATATTGGGAAAGAGTTCATGTGTACTCACACACACGCAAAATCATAAACAGAGACAAAAATAAGGAAAAATACCTGACCCAAGAGGAATGTGCTTTCCATCATCCCATAGCTTATCCATGAAGCCACTGGAATTATACGCAAAATATTTTTTGTTTACGTGCATTATTTTCTGGGGGAGTCTATATGTTTTATCAGGTTCTTAATAGGTCTTTCAGTCCCACAGACGTAAGGAACAGTTTTCGGCCGGGCATGGGGCTCACATCTGTGATCCCAGCACTTTAGGAGGCCAAGGTGGGTAGATCACCTGAGGCTGTGAATTCCAGACCAGCCTGATCAACATGGTAAAACCCCATCTCTACTGAAAATACAAAATCAGCCGGGCATGGTGGCGCATGCCTGTAATCCCAGCTACTCGGGAGGCTGAGGCAGGAGAATCACTTAAACCCAGGAGATGGAGGTTGTGGTGAGCCAAGATCGTGCCATTGCACTCCTGCCTGGGCAACAAGAGCGAAACGCCCTCTCAAAAAAAAAAAAAAAAAGGAACTGTGTTTTCATAGGTTTGCTCTTCCCCATTTTCATTTTAGTCAGCAGAGGGCAGAAAAGCAATATAATTAGGAGAGCCAACCACCAATACATAAATTGCTAAAACTCCTGTTTCTGCCATCTATTTCCTGACTTTGCTCTAGCTAAAATTCCCTGACATCTCCCTCTGTCAAAATACTACCGTCTCTAAATAACCATGGCAGCCCTGCCTCTTTTTTTTTTTTTTTTTTCTTTTTGAGACGGAGTCTCGCACTGTTGCCCAGGCTGGAGTGCAATGACAAGATCTTGCCTCACTGTAATCTCCACCACCCCAGTTCAAGTGATTCTCCTGCTTCAGCCTCCCGAG